CATGTAAAAAGAAAAAATAGACATGAGAAAAACATTGCTTTATAAACCCTAAGACTTAATAAAACAAATTTGATATTTTTCATATGTAAGCATTGTAATGTTTACTGATAATCTGCCAAATTTCATTAACAACCGCTTACTGATTTAAAAGTTATAGCATGAAAACTGTAACAAGCACAAAATGGTTATGAGGTTGGTCCCAGGGACTGAGCCTGTGCTGAAAGAGTTAATGTCATTTTATCTCTAAGGAGGGAATTTGATACATCAGTTTAATATTTTGTAGCAATTTTTACTACACAACGATGTATAAATCTAATTGCATCTTTCAGAAAATCATGATTTTCCTGTATACTATACAGTTGTATTACAGGGTTGTAAAAACCCACTAGCCCCCAACACCATGAATGATCAAATTTGGATTTGAGTCACCATTAATTCCATGTGCTAGTGCAGTTCTGCTTGCATGAAATGTGTTGGATCCAACTCTATATTTAATTACTAAAATTTACAAAAGAGTTACCTGATGCTATTTTGTCTTTCAAATTACCAAATTCCTGAAATTTTGTAAGATTGGTAGCTTGTTTATCGACGGTAAGCTAATCCACTTTAAGTCTGATTTATAAAAACATACAGAGATGAAATCTGTGTATGGGGGAAATGGGCCAGACCACCCACTCGGAACTGTGCAGTCATGTTCTTAGGTGTGACTGAAAAATCCTAGGAGTTCTGAATATTAGACTGGTCTGTGTCTATTTTGATTTCATAATTTATGTATACTGGATAATCTGTTCAAAAATTTTACATTTTTATATATTCTGGATTTTGTAATGCAGTGGAAGAAGTCATTCCAAAAACTATTTGTATATATATATATGTTTATACTACACTAAGTTTTAGTTTTGGTAATGCTGTCAAAGAAATTATTGCACGGAATATAACATTTATAAATTTGCCCCCTATAATAATTTGGTCATTAGTGTGAGAGAAAGTTGGGTAAGTAGAATTTTATATATTTCTCATGCCTACAACCTTGGGGTCTATACATCAGAAACAGTTTTATAACCCTGATTTATTGTTAGGTTAATTCAAATGTTACAAAAATATGTCATGTCCACACCAATTATTTTATTTCTGTTGTATGAGTTTACAAGTGGATGGTTGTGACCACAGTAAATCGAACGAATTAGTTGCATTTATTTGGGAAAATATATAATACTTGAGATCCATGGATACATTAAAACCCTAACAACAGGTTTTGTTAGTGACAAAAATAATCAAAATGTAATTAGTATTTTTTATCTATATGTTTCTGTTTTGAAGGCTGTAAAAATTTGAAAAACATTCCTTTCCTTTATAATATATTTGTAATCACCATCAGATAATGGATTTCTGTTATCTGCTGGATTTAAACACTCAAGTGGTTCTGATATCAGAAGTGCTGTAACTATATTTTGGTACTTTCACTCTTTTTTTATAACTTTTTACTTGTAGTCAGTACCTGTACTGATAATACATTGGTAAGAGTATCGGCCCATTTTTTAAAACACTATTCTTTCGTCCACTGTTAGTTATTACAAAACTAGGTGAATGAAAAAAATAATTCTCATTGCTAATCTGTTTTGCCCAACTTAACAAAATCTTTTTTTTTATAAATTGTCCAATGGATAATTAGTCTAACAACTTCTTTCTTTACATAACAATTTGATTAAAATTCTGTGTCGTCTATGCTCTCCATTAAATTTTTCAAGAAGAAAACCTTTGATTTCTAAACGTGGTTTAAGCTTATTGTCTGGTGTTGTGTCAGTACTTCTCTCATCTGTTTCTGTTGCTCAATACAATTAGTCAATACCTAAAGTTTGAAATTATTGAGACTGTTTTCCTTCATTCATACTATCTTACAAGTACTTACAGACCATTAAAGTCACTTTCCTGCTGGTGTACAAAGATAACTAAAATAGTAAGTCTCTTCATTTGATAGTTAAGCCAATGTAACCAGTTATTAATTTCTTGAGTTCTAGATGTTTATATGTTAAATAAAAAGAATACAGACTTGCCATTTATACTTTATTATAACTAACTGTGGCACAGATTAATTTTTTGTAATTAGTTAAAAAAATAAAATAATGGCAACTTTTACAGTAGACAAGTTCTGATCTTAAGAATTAGAGAGCATAGTATCAGGTCATCATCACTTAAAAGTTACATTTAAAAAAAGCAGTTGAATGTTCTCGAAGACTGAATGGTCTTTTTGAAAGTAACTCTTATCTGATGATTTTCTGATACTATACTTTGAAGCATTGTATTCTTTAAAATCAGAACTTGCCTGCTGTAAAAATTGCCATTATTGTATTTTTGAATTAATTTTATATATGTGTTTGTACATTTAAAACAAGACAATGAAATTATTATCATCAATACTGTTGTGAAGTGAATAAGCCCGAACAGGTACCTAGCAAATGAAATGCATTCAGTTCAGTAGATTTCTCAATTAACATTGAACACACACATACACTAATAATATTATTTCATTCCATTTCTGAGTAAAAGTTTTTCTGTAATCTCACATGTAGTTTTCTTTTCAGTTTCTGGTCCAAGCCCTCTATGATTTTCAAGCTCAAGAGGCCGGTGAATTGGAGTTTAAAAGAACTGATATAATTACAGTTTTGGATCGTTCTGATGCACATTGGTGGGAAGGGGAGATGCGTTCAAAGAGAGGATTTTTCCCAGCTTCCTATGTTGTTCCTTTCCATGAATAACTTTCCATGATGTTTTTAACCAGCATGAAGAAACTGTCAGAAAACGAAATTTAAAAAAAGAATCCACATTTTTTTTCTTTTTGCTAACAGTGATGATTGTTCTTTACATGTTCATCTTTAAAATGTTTCATATCAAAGTAAATATTTGTGATAAAACTCTTAATGAATGTTAAGTTGAGCCATCAAGTTTACAAGTTTAAAAATCTAATTGTAATCAGAGCCAATGTTTTGATGAAAATATTTTTATTTTCTCGCTTAGTTTTGGTCTTTTCGTGTTCACAGTATTGAAGTGGGTGAATTATCTGTAGACTGTTTTCAAAGCTTCTGTGTGTGTGTGTGTGTAAGAAGAAACTTATTATCTACTTGATTATTCGTAGGATTATGCAATACATTTAGTAAAGTTTGAAAAATTTGGCAAGAAACTACATTCATTCAAACTTCCACTGTATTTTGTGTTTGCTTTATTAACACACGTAGTTGAAGCAAAAGTCATGAGTAAGTTTTGTATACAATCTGTAACTAAGTGTAGTGAAACCTTACAGCTTATGGTTTTAACAAGGCTGGAAAAAGCATTATCAAGGGGACCTTTGTACATAGATGCAAGTGAAACTCGGTTATGGACAAGATACAACAGTCCACACGTATATTACTAAAAATATATGTAACAAGCATGTTGTGTAGTCTTGTTTTGTCTCATCACTTGTACTTTAACAAAAGCACAAACATCTTGATCTTATAGTGGCTAAATGAGTATTATTCTTACGTTGGATCCATTTTCACCAAAAGGGGCGAGTGTACATTTATCAAATTACGTGTGTTGAACTTTTCCTTATGCCTTTAGAGGTGGTAATATTCCTGTGTTATTGATATTCGTTATCTGAGAAAATCAGAAAAGATAGTAATGGGTTTATAACAGTATTTAACAAAATATGAAGTCACATCCCTGCTTTACCATGATGATAACATCTAAAAATAGTTTTTATCCCTGCTTTTCTTTTTAATTGCCTTTGACACTCTCTTCAACAGTTCTGTGTAGTACAAAGATGCTTTTATTTGAATTAAATTTAGAAATTCTACATACACACTCAATCTGATGTACAGTGATCAACTTGGTACCCTTAACCTGAAACTTGAATTTGTACATTCAAACAAACCATACCTTTTGGCTTATTGCTGGAATGTAAAAATGTATATATACATTCATTCAGCTTTCCAATGTGTTATATGTGTTTGCTTAATTCATTTATTTATAGTTTAAGCAAAAATCATGATTACATTCTGTTAACAGCTTGTAACTTATGGTAATAGGAAACCCAAAACTTTGTATTAATATACATTATTAATTCACATTATTTTCCATTTATGCAAAGATGAAGCCAAATATATTAATTATTGATTTTATAACTTTTCATTAGAAATAAAATACTCTTGACACTAATATGACCATGAAATATTTTCAGCTCTTAAAAATATTATTAAAGAACAGTCTTTAATCAAAATAATTTACATTACTGTTCATCATATTTGTGTAACTTGTCAAACTCAACCAAATATTCAAACTCATTTTTAATGGCTGCTGAAAACGTTTCCTTTTTATTTATGAAATACTTATGCAAACTCATTAAGGGCTTTTACTAAAGTTGATCTGTCAAAAGGGTGTCATCTTGCAGCATGTATAAAAAAATTTTATTTCTGTGTTTATGGACATAAGTTCAAATCTGATTGTTAAGATTGCCCCACAATATTAATTTATGTTTAAATTTGTATCTTTTGTATGCTGGACTGTGAAGGAGAGGTTCTCTAATTCACGTCATGTCACATTAAAAAAACTTGCTTCACACGTTGGGACCACGAGTGCATTATATGAGTGATGGTCAAACCTTGCCATTTGGTTTGACAAGCAAGTGGTGTGGACTAGCTGCCTTCCTTCTAGTCTATCACTTCAAAATTGGGGACAGTTAGAACAGATGACTTCTGTGTAACTTTGCATGAAATTCAATAAAACAAAAGTTTTTGTAGAATAATACAAGGCAAGATGGAAGGTGTTTTGGTCCTATTCACAATTGTACGAAATAAGTTTGAATGTAGCCGATATTCATCCACAGTTTTGTAAAATAATGTAAAAGTTCAGATATTTATCCATTTGTTAAGAAATGTCAATATTAAACATAAATTTATAAAAATGTTGAACAATTTTGAGTTTATCTAAAATACCTATCCAAAGTTTAGGAAATGTCTGGCAATATGAAAATATTATCTTCCAGATTCACAGCGTAACAAAACTGGAAATAGTTTTAGCTTTTAAATAATGCAAAACATATTTCAGTATATTGGGTTTCTCTTCGCTAGTATTAAGGTTGCAGGTGAAAAAGAAACCTTCACTTAAAGCTATGTGGTAATATTTGTTTTAAACCACAAGCTTTCAGGAGGTTGAAACTGATGAGAGATATTTTACATTTGACTTCAAATAGTAGAATATGTAAAATGCTGTTAATTCCAAAATTAGTAGTTACTTTTATTATTTTTATAAAACAAAACTGAAGTTATGGTGACTTATTTTCTCAGCTACAGCAGCAAGGTTCTGCTACTGAGACCAGCTGTATTAAGTCATTGGTAATAGTATTTGAAAGTTGGTATTAATATACAATGTTATTACATTTCAGAATGTCAAGTGATTACCACGGGGTCCTCAAGTAGTGCTTTTTATTTTTTGTGTTAGAGAAATGAACACTTTGGCTGAAGAACTTCCATAATGATAGTAAACTATGTGAATTTTTTGAATAGGTCTTATTCACAGCTCGTTTAAAGACCCTCGTATTGGATGTGCAAGTGATTTAAAAGGGTGTTTTTATGTAGTGTATATAATGTAGGATTCTTCTATCAATGAAGGAATTTGTGTCAAGGTTATTGTTCCAATAACTAGGTTAAGGTTCTTTTAAGAGGTATTGTTTATTGTTGGTAGTAGAGTTCTAATGATGACTTGTTACATGATTTTGATTATTTTGTGTACGGATTACAAAGTAATTGTTGAAAGGGGATGTTTCAGTGTAATAAATTAGGGAATTGGTTCATTAAGAATTGTAATGTCTTTAATTTTAACAAGACATTGTGATTTAATGATAAACCACCATTAAAAAAAAATTTGTCGACGTTAATTTGGGCAAACCATTTCTTGCTGCACTTTTATTTATTTGCTTGTTATCGTGTGTTACAATCAGTGCTCACTAGATGGCATTTGAAATGCTGTTTGTGCTGATCTCTTAGATTTATGTATCAAACACTGCAAAAGTATTCCTATTTTTTACTGTAGTTTCACTAAAATAATATATATCACAAACAAATCCAGATATGTAACATTTATTTATCGAGTATATATTGTGCAGAAATAATAAGAGACCATAAAATATTTTTTGGTTTCATTAATAGTATAGGCTATCAAAAACCAAAATAAAACATTTATTTTTTTTAGCTCATTTCCAAAAAAAGCCTGACATGGCTTATTTTTCCTGCAAATGTCTGCTCATTGTGTTTGTGGCTTAGCACTAACCACTAAGAACACAATGTTTTAAAGTGGCAGTGATATTTTTTCCAAGTGTCTTTAATCAAAATGACTTAATATACATTTAACTTTTACCAGTTATCAAGATACCAGAGCTGATTGAGAAAAGAATTTTTATTTTCACATGTTAAAAAATTCTTTACCTGAAATGCATTTGGCCTAACTGGAAAAGAGAAGGTTATTTTTAGAAGTCTGCAGATATAGAAGTAAAGCATCCAACAACTGTTCATATATAATAAAGATTACCTTTTGTACTATCATAAACTTTTAACATCTGCTATTACCTCTGTATCATTTTTATTATACTATAATGGTTAATACAACTTGTGCCCATATCGTTGTTATTTTTTGATGTTCTAATTTACAGAAATATGTCTGTATAGAATCTATAATTCTTAACATTTAGTAAACAAATACTTTGTATGCAGGGCCCTGATCCTTATGCACCAGCAAAACAAAATTATAAATTAGTAAATATGACCTAAAGTGAAAACAAATTAAAAAATAACGTTTAAAATGATATTAGACATAACACCCTGCAAATTTACTGCTAAGCTGAGGAGGGATACCCATTTGAGGATTCATTAACCTTGAAAAAATAAATAAATAATGGTAAATAACAGTAATTTATATTGTGGATAAAAGATATGTCTTAGGCTTAAGTACAAATATCATTAAATGTCGAGCATTACAGATCCCATTAGATTATTTAAACAGTAAATTTAAAACAAAACAGGAAAACATTACACAATAAACCAATCTTCAATGAAGCTGAGTCGTTTCTCCTTGTTAAGTATTATTTACTATGTACAGTAGCATCTACAATAATACACACACACAGTGGCACATTTTGTAATCTTACTATAAATTATAAGGGTCAAGTTGTATATCTGTGTATAATAACTGGCAATGAGTAAAGTATCATTAAAAATCCAATTTCCCTATATTTGTCTGAAAAACTTAAAATATTCAAAATTTTGTCTAGTTCAGTTACTTTGCAAGTTTCGACTCACCTGGGCCTTTCATTGTAGTACTGATTCCAAACTATCATGTTAATAGGCCTAGCCCTCCCGTCAACAGGATGGGCATAATCTTTTAACTTTCCTATGATAGAAAAACATGATATCCATGTCAAGTAACTTCAATGTAACTATCATAGTTACAGCATTGAATGGGTTAACTTTAGAAAAACGTGTCTAGTACTGTTGCAGTACAGGGTTTTTCAAGCCTCCATGTTATTGGTTTTCTCGTATTCATCAGATGGGAATAATTTTTTTGTTCACTTACAATGTCTATGTATAGAGTTATGAAGCACTCTGATTGCTAATTGTTTTCCCATTAAGTAAAGAAATGCTTAATTAGCATAACTCACCTTCATTTGAATAATTTTAACTACCTGTACTATAAGATAAAACAGCACAGTACAACTAAAAGATATAAACGTACTTTTATAAGTATACTTTCTTACATCAACAAGAAAGAAATCAATAATATTTATTCAGTATAAAATTCCAATCATAAAAAATTTGTTAAAAGTTGAAAAAAATACCACTTTTTCAAAAGTTTTCTATCTAAACTGAATATAATTTGAAATTAACTGACATTCGTATGTGTAGTAAAAATTAATAGAATTAACACAGATTTTGATGTACCGCTAATTTAAATAATAATGGCATAGTTTTTATATTGACTAGAAATTAAGTGCTTCACCTTAAATTAACTCTTGCCTTGCACACTTTGTGTTGTCACAATGTTTCCTAATTCACATAAACAAACTACCATAAATAAAACATTGAGCATTCTAGAACGTTTCACTGATAAACAAATATTTTTGGCAACTGTAAATATCCACATTGATACCATAGATGTCACTAGTTACATGGCAAGAACTTTATATTCCATATTAATAGCAAATACAAGAATACATTCCAGAGATATTGCATAAAACAAGTAGCAGAAACAAATTACTTGCCATGCTGAAAAATAAAAGTATCTTTTTTTTATTTTTCCTATCTTGATAGGGTTACAGCTTGAATGAATACTGAGTTTTGTGGCTATAAGACCCATTTCAACTGTGCTCCTATTATAGACTGATTTTAAACGTTAATATTGGAATTGATAAAAATACAAACTGTTATTTAATGTTAGATTGTTTTAAGAGTGATGACATATGCATAAGCAACTTTTTTTGTCTTTTAAGAGCAATCAATTTCATTACTCAAGTACGAGTTACTAATTTAAACTTGAATCCAGAGAAAAGATTTATCTAACTACTCAAATTAAAAATATATATGATCCATTTATAGTTATAACATTTAAGAAGATGCATCTAACCTATTCTAGCATGTGTATGAAAACCCAACTAAATGTACGTGTGTGTGTAGCAATGAGCTAATATTGGACTGGAATCCTCTTTCAATGTAGTTGTTCCGATTAATCCAATAATTTTTTCCTAGAGGTGAATACAGCCTAATTTGTTTTAATAATATTTCTTCATGTAGAACCACAAAAAAAAACCTTTCCTGAAATCCTCCAAATATTTTGTAAAGTACAAATATTTTTAAATTTAAAATGGTGTAAAAATCCAGACTATGTAATGTATAAAAGTATGGATTTATTTTAATTTTTAGTAACAGATGCAAGAAAGAGATATTCATGATTTGAATAACAAACAGCCATAATAATCCACTCTACATAAACATATTTTTGTGTAACATAGCAGTATTAGATACTAATCTTACTTTTTGTAATCAAACAAGTATTATTTGTCTGTCAAAAAGTGGAATTTCAGATAGTAATAATACAAGCAAAAACTTGTTTTGAATACACACTTTTTCTTGGGGGGGGGGGGTATTATTTTGCAATCACTCAAACATAGGATTTCTTCCATAATATTCTAAGTATACTTTTCTGGGTAAAATTCTGGTACTTATTAATAAAGTATAATGAACTGTCAATTTGCATAAAAGAATTTGACTTATGTTAATTTATGAAATAAAAAATATTACTAGATTTTTGGTACACAATTATAGTCATTATAATGATAGTTCCTATTAACTACTTTTTTTTAATTATCCAATTAAATATTTGTGAAAAAAAAAAAGACTTCTTTAATCAAAACTGAAACTTGCATATAATCCATAAACAAATGTTTGAAATTTAAAATAAACTAAACCTTAATAATTTAGTAAATTTTGCAATATATACATACACATAAACTACTTACAAACTAATAAAAGTTGGAATTTGTCCTTGGTATTTATATTTTGTAAATCTTGAGTTTTAGAATTTTACAACTGTGTGGTTATGAAATTCAAACCATCAATATAGTTATCAATAAAATCATTAACTATTACATTCACTAATGCTGTTTAAAATTTTGTATTGTACATTATGCCAATCTACTTTTCTTTATAAAAATTACAATTAAAATATGTTTTAACAATTATATGAAAATAATTTAGATTTATATATGCAATTATGATAAATATTTGACAAAAACAATTGTATGTAAAATATTAATCAGGTCTCTGCTATTAGCTGGTCATGTATGTAAAAGGCTCACCCTTAATCCACTAAAAAATAATACTTGAAATACAAAATATTATTAAGGCCATTAACCACATTACTTCTGTTGTTGGTTGTATTCTGGATTTTGTCATAAAGCTACAGTAGAACTTCTTTTGAAAGGCTGCATACATCAAATATTTCCTATAAAATGCTTAATGCCTTCAGCATCTGTCTAAAACTTCCAACATCTCTTTGGTACTGGTGATTTTTTCCCGAGGCTTTCCTGCCCTGCTTCCCTGCTCTTGTTCCTGTTTATCAATCTTCAGCCAGTCTTGAAATGTAACTGGTCTTATTCCTAAAATTAAAAGAATTTGTAAATTTGGTTTGTTCATCTGTATGAGGCTTTTGCACAAAAAATTTAGACAAAAGTTGTCCCCTCCTACTTTATGCACTTTGCCAAAATTCCATGAGTTTATTTGAGCAACTTAAAGACTCAGAAGTCTGGGGAAGATGTTTGCAAATGTTAGAGAATGAATTTTGATTTGTAATTGCATCTTGTAAAGTAACAAGCATGTTGTATTGTACATGTGGCTAGATGATTTGACTTGACAGTCATACTTTATTGACATCCAATCCACACACAAGATATTATTTCATTGTGGTAATAATGTACCAACATGTTAGCCTAATAGTATGCAAAGTTAACATTGGTGTTATTATTGACTCTCCAGATATTAAACTTCACATTGTGTTATGTGGGCACATCATGTTTTTCACCATCTGTAGTAACTTAAAAATGTTTAAAAATTTTCGTTTAGTTAGTTTCTATGTATTTTGGCATAATCACATGGGCCACAAAATTATTAAAATAGTTTTTCTAGTTGCCTATAGCAGATAACATCTATTCTGCCCAAGGGGATATTGCAGTAGCATTTGCACATCCGTGTTGATAGAGTTAACAACTGCAATGTCCTTTGCTGGTTGAATGGATAATATCTGTATGCTACAATCGACAAATGCTATGATTGAATATACAGTCACTTAATGATGCTATCACAGGAAAAAGGATACAAAGTTTACTGCAAGATTGTAATCTCAATACTTTCAGTTCTACTTGGTTATCAACATGAATAGTTCAGTGGAAATTTATCTTGAGGAAAAAAAAAGTTGTTGATTATTCACAGTTATGATAGCGGTGGCTGTCCACTCATCTATGCAAGTCCCTCACACTTTTTTGTTGTTGTTGTTGTGTCTGTAATAGATATTGTTTTCACTTTTCTTCAGTCTGTTTATTTCTCATGCACGCGAGTTTTCAAATTCAGATTATTCTAAAACTGTTTGTTTGATCCTACCACCATTAAGCAGACTTTTTTAATACTTATGAGGAAATCAGTTCACCTGAGAATACCTCACCATTAAAATTATAAACTGCAACCACCACAAATATCTTGGAAAAATGTTGTGACATGCTACGTACCATTTCTGAGATGTATCATTGACAGGATAATAAATTGTCTGAAAATTTTCAGACACTTAGACAGACATGTGGTTTGTCCAGCATGAAGATACATTTCCATTTGTCACATGCCAGATACCACTTGTACAGTTATTAACAGTTGGTCTTCCAATCAGCATTTAGGGGAAGCTTGTAACCACAGCTGTTATATAACTTTCATCAAACTTCAATCTGTGTGAATTAAGCTCAAAATTTCTTATGGTACATTATGTTTTAATCTACTTTTCTTTCAAAAACATGAAACTATTTGCAATGGACCATTGTTTTCTTGTGGCAAGCTGTTTAATTTTTTTCCCTATCTCCAGTATGTAACTGGTATTGATCAATTAAAAGTCCATTCTTCTGGAATCATGCCTTTCCTTATTTTACCAATACAATACAGATATACACACTTTCTTCAAAACACTAATATTTTATCACTTTCATACATTTATAATCATAACTTTGTAATTGAAATACCTGTAATGTAAACCTCCTAGAAAGGATAAATTTTAAACACCATCTGCACTTACAAATCTGAACTGCCATTCAGGGTCAGAGCTTTTAATTTGCATACAAGCCATAAGGATGTCTAAAGGCTTGGTTATTGGATATACAGACTGTTACCATAAATGATGAGCAAAGCTCTGTATATAAGTAATATTTTGTGTATGAATATTTAGATTAGAAACTGAATGATACCACATCAAATCCAAACACAATATTAAAAACATGTGGTCACTTGATTTTTTTTTCTCAATTGTTTTGCAATATAGGATATAATTTTTCCTTCATACCATTACTAAAACAGTATCTCCCACAATATTAACTATAAGTTGTACATTTCTACACACGTGGTTTTCTCAGCCTCTCGAAGGTGGAAAGTTCCTTATAACCAATCAAAAGCTCAGGATTTCCCCCACGTGGTTTTCTCAGCCTCTTGAAGGTGGAAAAATTTTTTCTTTAAAATACTTGGGTCATTTCAGAATTTTGAAGTCATGGTACATTTCATAGATTCAAAAACTTAGTTTTTCTTATTTTGGTGTTGCTTTATTTAAGTATATATTTAAAAAAAATACTTTTGTTCATTTTTTTTAGTTAGGTCAGCAGTGAGTTATTATGATTAGTGAAAACTAGTAAAATTTTGTGAAGATACACAAAATGTATCAGAAGTTATAGTATGGGGTCACGAACTTGGCCAATTCAGCCAAGCCCGTAGCGAGAGAATTAATAGGTTTGTGGGAAAGTGACGAGATTTTAGTGTGCATAAAGAAAATAAGGGAATGTAATGGGAAGTTTTGAAGATTTAAGAACAAATCACAGACTTGTTAGTGTTTTATAGTTTCTTTAGATGTTCTTTTCATTCCTGAAAATATTTTTAATGATAAATTATAGTACATAAATTTTCTTTTATGGCAAGACATCGGATAAGGCTTATTTATTAGATTTACCAAATAGGCAATGGCATAATATTCTGATGACTCAAATCCGTATTTCTTGAATGTTATTGTTAAGTTTATCTTACTTAAACAAAAAGCATAAAGAAAATAACTTATATTTATTAGATATAAATTGATTTTGACCAAAAAAAATTTAATTCTTAAATGAGAGGAGATGTTTTTTTTTTAGTGTTTTCCAAAACTGTTTCACAATAAAATTTTTGAAATTTCATAATATAAAAATTGATAGAAAACAAAATCAAATTGTATTTAAACCAGAACAAGATAGTATTTAGTAGGGATGGGAAAAATAGTAGTTTTTGTAGATGTGATTATACATATTGGAAATGCAACACAGGTATGAGTTACCATTTTATTGTAGTATCTTTACAATTAAAAGAGTCGTGTGTGTGTGTGTGCATGGGAAGCTTTTCAAACTTCATTAAACTTTTCAAAAATGAAATTACCAGTAGGGAAGTAAAGATGATATGACCATATATGTGAGAAGGGTGGGTGTAGATAGTAGTCTGCGCTGAAAAGGGAAGGGTATTTTGGAAATGGGTCTATCATTCTTCAGAGCTCCATCTAAGACAGCAGTTTTACATGTTAATGTTTTTTGTATTAATCTCTTCACTTCTTTACAATCAGTTAGAGTATCAGTACTCTGAATACTGTGAACAGGACGAAGGAGAATTGAGTGATTCTTGAACATCCTGGGTTTTTAAACCCAAATTTTTCCCATTGTAATTTATATTTGTACTCTTATCCTGTTGAGTAGGGACCTGGCAGCAATATCACCGAGTTTTTATTCTTGCCCATTATACCCAGGTTTTGAAAGTATTGCTGTATCCGGTGTCTCTTACTAGATACGTCAATCGGTTTGTCATTTTTTTATCAGACCGTTTGGCTCAAAATGGCTTTTGTTCTAGAAGTGATTTATGGGTATCACTTAGGTTTAACATTGCAATCATTGAGATGCCCTGCAGAGTCATCAGATTTGTTTAAGAATTCTACGTATCTATCCTCATACATGAGTTGTCTAGGCTGGTCACTTAACTCTATTGCAACGGGTTTTTCCTATGGGCATTTTATCACTTTTGTAGACTTATATTCCAAATTGTATTGAACTACTATTTTGTGAATGTATGTCAGTAAAGTTTTTGTATCAAATTGTGGATTATAATTCAAATTTTAATATTATACATTAGTTAATTTTTGAATTTAAAAGTAAATATAAAACAAATTCCTAAATATCAATTTTTGTGTGTCACATGGTATGTTGAATGTAGCTTTGGTTAAATATGATGCTTGTGATGTCCAAATACAAAGTCTATAGTTTCTTACAAGTTAGAAACTCAAATTATCGATATTGGCAAGCTAGAATATTAGATAAGAACCTCCTATCTTTTCTATTTGCTAAGATATCACTATATTTAGCAAATCAAACACAGTGGCCCTGCCCACCTCTTCCATTTTTGGAAATACTTCCTTACATCACCCATTTCACTCTATCATGTGCTTTTAACCAATCAAAAGCTCAGGATTTCCCCCACGTGGTTTTCTCAGCCTTTCGATGGTGGAAAGTTCCTTATAACCAATCAAAAGCTCAGGATTTCCCTCACGTGGTTTTCTCAGCCTCTCGAAGGTGGAAAGTTCCTTATAACCAGTCAATAGCTCAGGATTTCTCTCATGTGGTTTTCTCAGCCTCTCAAAGGTGGGAAGTTCCTTATAACCAATCAAAAGCTCAGGATTTCCCTTGAATAAAAGTATTTTTAATCTTAACATGAAAATCACTTTGCACTTGAAGCAGTCAGCACTTTTACTCCATATATTCGTGGAGAGATTTGTAGTGAAAATAGTTTGTTAAAAATTCAGATTTTTTATCTACAAATCTGAAAAGTTTTAAGTTTCATTTGTGTAATCTCTAAAAACTTCTAAATAAATTTCAAACGTTTTTTTCCCCCAGTAAAACTATATATTTTATCTGTTATTTTCTCTACCCTAAGTCTATATGTGGTTGGTCAATTTGACCAATCTTGTAATCACAAAAAAAAAAAATCAAAATAAATCTAAATTACTCTTTTTTCTTTCTAGAATTACTTCAAATTGTAACATGAAACTACATTTGTTTATCCTAAATAACTTTAAACTTATAACAGTACACATATGTTTATATTGAATTTTATTGCCCTATGACACGTCTAGCTAATATTCCCACCACATAAAATCTAAATCACATGGCAAACATGTAGCTCTAGTTACTCCATTCGAATTACACAATGCACAGTCAACTCCCAAGCATACCCTGTGAACAAGTTTTATTATTAATATTGTTTATATTACCTAATTTAACCTAAAAAGTTTCTAATTTGTACATCTTAGTTACTTTTATAATAATAAATAAAGAATACACATGAGATACATAGGGGGTGGTAAATAAATGGGAGAAAAGGGGATACTAAGAGAGCAAATGTCACAATTCTCACACTCGGGAAAATTGAGGATTTATTTTTTTAAATACTGCCTTATAAAATTAAGAACTAAACAGTTACATAATATTAAAAGTTTGATTATTAGCTATATTCTGATGCCCAGTTTATTTGTATACCGTGATAATAAAATACATTAATTAAGTTTTGAATGTAACTCAATAAAAACCTCGTAACGTGTAGAAAAGGATGCGCACATCAAAAGTGTTAAATAGTTCTCATAACACTTTATTCACTTCACATTAACATAAGTAGCTTATAATGTGCTCGGTCCAAAACCTTATAAACTTTGCTCCGTAGTTATCTTGAATGGTGAGATTGTTTAATTAGTTATTCAACCATCCGCTGTTAGGTCATAAAGACCCGAGAAGATATACTAATCAAATTCAGAGAAAAAGAAGGCACAAGAAACAAAACATGATAATTATATTGTTAGGGAAAGATATTTTCTTGACAAATATAAAACTATGCTTTTGGGTGGGTAACAAAAATATCTATGTGTTGCTTATAGGCAATTCCTTAGAGATGCCCAGAAGTACAAGTTTTCACATTTCTTTGCAAATTAAACAAAATCATCGTTAAAAAATGACAATTGTAAAATATGTCTGAGTAAAACAATTCTGAAATATGGTTAGTTATCATTTCTATTTAAAGTTTGAAATTTGATATGTAGGTGTGCATTTGACACCTGAAAGGTGCTCACTGATCCAGATAGGGTTAAAAATATTAAAAAAATAGAACAGTACTAGAGTTTTCAGACTAGGAAAATAAATTTTTGGATAAATAAATCTTAAGATTGAATAAACAAAACCAATTAACCACTCAATCACTCTTTCTCTGATTTGATAAAAACCTTTTCCAAACCAGAAGCAGTGCTCTGCCATTTATGTATTCTTAACATATCTGAAACACACACACACACACACTATGAACATACAAAAAAAATTATAACTACTGAATGTAATTGAATCTAAATTTGAATTTAGAAACAAATGAATCACTATGATACAACTATATATACAATATCATTATGTAAAGTGTCCTTAACTGTTGACCTAAATGCCAAAGTTCACCTTACCCTGCCATTTACTTGTGTTCCAGATGACAACAGTATTATCCACGCTACATGAAGCAAGCCAGACATCGTGCGGAGACCATGCAAGATCTAGCACATCTGAAAGACAAAATAAACTGGTGTACAATTTCATCAACAGGAATATCAAGATGATGTACAAAGCACCAAAAAGGTAAACCGGAGAAAAATTCTGATCAAACTAGGTTCTGCTGCAGTCCACTACACATTTATGTTTAATCCAGTAGGCAAATTACCTTTATCTCAAAAATGACCCATACATTCTTACACTGACAAATTACCTTTATCTAAAAAATGACCCATACATTCTTACACTGACAAATTACCTTTATCTTAAATATGAGCTGTACATTCTTACACTGACAAATTACCTTTATCTTAAATATGAACGGTACATTCTTACACTGACAAATTACCTTTATCTTAAAAATGACCCATACATTC